GATTTACAAATACTAGTTGTTTATACAGTAAGTATTTTCTTTATTTCAACTTTCTTCAAACACGTATTTTTTTTAATTAAAATATTTTAAATTTAAAGACAGTCACAAAGATATCAAGTTTTGCTGTTTCGTCCCATTGTTTGTAGAGTAATTATTTATATTTCATCTTTCTTTAAACAAACAATATTATAAAGGTTTAAAAAATTTTTGGCATATTTAAAAAATATTTTTAAGTTAATCTGATTTAAAGTACAGGTTTATCCCGGAAGTTCTATTCCGGAAGTAAAATGCTGTAAGCAATCAGTAAAACATTAAACATGAACTTTTAAACCAGACCAATGATGACATGAACGAATTGAAATATTTAGTTGAATCATAATAAAATTAACTTTCATTTCAATGGAACGTTGAAATGAACTTCATTGTTTTATAACCTGAACCGTCGGTGGCCCAACGGGTCACAGATAGTTTAATAAATAAATAAAAGTGAGATATCTATATCAAATAAGTGTCTACGTTTTGAAATAAGCCATGCTTATTATGACGCCTTTGTGGCCGAGCGGCATTCCGAGTCAAACGATACTTTCTACAATAGAAAGGGACGGACGTTCGATTCATACCGGAGGACACATTCTTTATTGAACTTCTTGAATGCGCAAACAGAAAGACGTATTACACTGTTTATTCTATCTATATAAGACTAAATGTCTGCGAATGCGTGCTTGTGTAAAGTTTATATGTAAATGTACCCTTAATAATGGTAAGAGTAATCTCGTGGTCGTCAGTTGATGTGTTAAATTTAATGTATATAGGAATGTGCATGCAACGTTTAATCTTTGACAAGATTGTCGTGAGTGTCGATTTTCAAAGACAGAATACATATACAAGTATTTTTTTATCAAGGTATAAGTTCCTTTTCTTTTTTTTTATTTTCAAATCTCCATCGATATTCTTATGTATTGTCTATTAGGAGAAAAAAAAAACGGCGAGAAAATTACCTGATTGTCTTCAGACGAATGAACTAAACAGAAATTAACTTTGTTCTTGGCCTGAAAACATTCGTCATTGTATTTTCAGGATTTAGATTTTATTTTTTTACATCCCATTTATCGTTGGTATTTTGGTTCTTTTGAATGTTCATTGTGCTGAAGTTTTTTTCTAATTTTCTCCAGCTTCTGGCACATTTCTTTTTCGCACAATTAAACTGTTGAGGTAAAAAAAAAAAACAAAGTAACATATACATAAAAACTTGAAATTTAGAGAAGGAAAAAGAAATAGCCAATCGAGTTTTAATTTCGGTCTATACGCGCACGTATATATATATATATATATATATATATATATATATATATATATGCACCATGTATGTGAATATATATATATATATATATATATATATATATATATATATATATATATATATATATATATATATAAAACACGTATATATATAAACATGTTTGCTCTCTCTCTTTCTTTCTCTCTCTCTATATATAAAGCTCTCTCTCTCTCTCTATATATATATATATATAAAGACAAACACATCATGTATGCTATCTATCTATCTATCTATCTATCTATATATATATATATATATATATATATATATATATATATAATAATTACTTGGATGGTTTCGGCTCTCGTTTTTGCAACATGAGAACTCTTATGTAGCGAAGGAATCATATTTTTAAACAAAAAATATTATTATAATAAAGTTCTACTTCTGTATGGAACACCGTCTTCTTAAAAATAAAAACAAAATACTAAGCAACTCCGGATTATGCATCCAACGTGTTCTTTTCTATTTTCTGCATACCTGCGCTCTTATATATATATATATATATATATATATATATATATATATATATATATATATATATATATATATATATAGTGAGTGTATCAAAATACTTTTAAAAACTTTGGGGGCGGTTTCCTCACCTCAAAACAAGGACAAAAGACCATATGCTAATAAAAGCTTGGGTGGGTGGAAAACAGCTGCCGGCAGGACCTGGTGTTTTGTGAAGTCGGTCCCGCAAGAATTCTGTTCCGCAGGTCGATGTCCTTTCCGAGGCACTGTACCACCTGTTTCCACCCCCGTCTTTCCCTATTTTCCCCGTAGTTGTTGGGTAGAGCAAATCTGTTAGGTGTTTTTCCCCCAAAACTCAACAGACACTTCACTTACATTACAACGCATTCTCTCCTACTCTTATATAATTCGTTTAGTCCATGGACATATTTTAGCGCAGTTTAAACACGCCACATTTCCTTTAGCACATCCTATATTCAAAGCGACGCTACCACCTGGGTACTCTCAAATATAGTATATAGAGAGTATCATCAGTTTATCTTACGAAGCAGAGGTATTTTTTCGAGATAGTATAGTGCGCGCCAACCACAAAAGGGGAAATTTGAACTGATGTATAGCATTTTTTTTTTTATTCCAGGCGATTGCTCTTCAAGCTCATGTCAATAAACATCGTCGCATTCCATGTAAGCTTCAATTGCTCATTTATTATTATTATTATTATTATTGATCATTTCTCTAGATCTCTGTTGTATACTGATAACCTTCCGGTTGAAAACCAGAGATCTAAGGTCAGAAAGAGCATCATATTTCCTACGGCATATTTGTGTAAAATAAAACAGCCTAAAAACATTTTTTACATAGATGAAACACTTTGTAGGTTGTTAGCGGTGCTTGAGAAAAACAATTTTTGTATTTCCTTAAGGCATGATCTAAAAGATATCCCTTCAGTGAGTGTATCAGAACCTTTTCAAACCAAGGTCTCCAGCCTCTCCTGTTATTATTATGTTTTACATTTCCTCTTCAAGCTTTTTGTATTATGATAGATTTTTTTGAAGACCTTCAAATCAGCTTTCGTCTGCAGGAACTGCCATTAAAAAAAAAAACAAAAAAAAAAAACGTTTCTCAATCTTTGATCCAGCTGGGGTGTTAGTTTTAATCATTTTCTGTATTGTAAAGCCACAGAAAATTATTACAGGTTCTGCGTCTGTAACCGTGTCTGGGTATTGTTCATACCATTTTTTTTGCAGTTTGCTTCACATAAAAGTTGTAGATTTTCCATCGTAGATATTAGTTGACTCTGCCATGCCGGTGTTTATATTTAGTGAATGCTAATACCGTGCAACCTGATCCATATGATCAATTGTTTTTGGATATTCATCACATAATCTCTATTTATGGTCAGGAAAATCATTCGTTGGTTACTATATTATTATTATTATTATTTCAAGGTTTACTTGCCCCACAGTGTTTCAATATCGAAAAACTGAAATAGCCCGGACGTATATTTATCGTACGATCAATATATTTTTAAATACCCGTTCTCATACGAACACTGAAGTTAAACAACGTCGAATCTGGTCAGTGCCTAAATAGGTGAACTCTTGAGAATACAAACTTCTGTAAGCTTGGATGTGTGGGTAGTGTAATGATAACTGCACGGAATTGTATCGGAGCTCTAATACCAGTTGTGTTCGTTATCTTTGAAATGCAAATAACCTTGGGGAAACATATTCTCCTCAGCCATGGATTGGTTTGGACTTGTATCAGTAAATCATTATTTCCAAATAGTTGTTACCATCTAAAGATATTTTCTAAACTGAAAAATGTTAGTCCGTAAAAAAAAACAAAAAAACAATCAAAACTTCATTTTGATAGTTCAATCTTATGCTGTGCGTTTATTATAAAACCCATATGTGTTGTTGCTGTAGAGTAGTTTTCACAGTGGAGGCTTGTATTTCACTAAGTCTGTCCTAAAAAAGGTTCGACGTACAAAAACGTTAGGAACTTGAAATAATAGTTAATGACGCAGCAATCTAGTTGTGGTGGTTGATACTTTAATGTCCGACATCGACTGACTGACCAACTCACTGAGCGGTATTCAGTCACCCCCCCCACGAGGGCATCATGTGGTACAAGGCCGGTTTAACGTGGGATCTCCGAGCCCGTGGGCTCGGGCAAAAATATGCCCTTTGAACCCGTATAAACGGGTTCAGGGTCGGTTTACCTCCCCGAAAGAGACTCCACCCTTCGGCGTAGCCTCGTTCGGGTTCCTCCCCGCCCGAAGGCAGAGTGTTCAGCCGATCAGCCGGTCGTCCGACTTCAGACTGAAATCAGACCAACTCACTGAGCTCCATCTGGTGACTGCTACTACTACTACTTATTGTATGTGGGAGAGTCTATTAATAGAATAGGTATGTTCCGGTATGACAGTTGTTCAGTAGAGCTGGCCACCCGTATTCGAGGATACCCGACTATTAGAGCGGATAGCCAATCCCTATTGCAGACGCTTGCTCAGGCGTATTTGTGTTTATTCAACACGCACAGAGTCCAATAAACCTGTGCTTTATACTTCAACTATGCTGAGTTGTCCTTAGTTACGATTTCTGAGAAAGAGCGCGTTATCTAGCGTGATCAACAATTTGAACAAGGCCAGCACACTCAAGCCCTCGGCCATGATGACTTGTGACTTCGTGCTAGCACAGCTATCGACGGCCCCCAAAGATTCCGTCTACCCAATTTCAATCACGAGGCTTGGGTCAACCCGTGTCATGGTTTTCAGGCACTTTCCAAAGGCGTCGTACGCTGAGATCGACCCCTCCAGTCCGATAACACCAGGGAATCTCTTTCTTGACGAATCGACCATGGTGTGATTCGAACCTGGGTCTCATGGTCAGAATACAAACGTTCTAACCACTCGGGCCACGTGTCCATTGTTGTTCAGTAATACAACGGATATTAACAACATTAGTATTTCCGTAAACGTTCCAGGCCAATGATTATGCCGGATTAACAATCAATAATATATATATATATATATATATATATATATATATATATATATATATATATATATATATATATATATATATATATATATATATATATTTATTATATATTTGAACTAAGAGAGGCCTATCAAATATACACGATTCTGTTGCTGCGTAATAGATAACTTGTTATGCCATTATTAACGCCTTCTAACTCTGCCACCTGTTCCGTACAATCTAGATATCATTTTCAGAAAGCCATCTGCAACGAGGAATGATCGTGATAGAAAGAGTAAGCCCAAAGAAAGCAGAAAAGGCTGGGAGGGAAGAAAGAAAAGGAAATGATTCATAAGTAAGTAAAAATATGCAGAAAATAAGACAAGGAAGAATCCCTGACTTGTACAAAGAAGGATTTGAATTATGGAAAAAAATAAATAAAAATAGCTGGAAAAGTCAACATTAAAATAAATTTAAATATTGAATAAGACAGAATAAATGAATAACTGAACGAAACGACAAAAGAAACATAGCATAAATACCAAAAATATGTTTAAAAAAATGAGTGAAAATACAAGTTTACTGACAGAACGGAAGTGGGTAATCTATATTCCAAGAAAAAAAACACTAAGGAAGAAAAACACTGGATAAGAAAAGGAATGAAAGCGCTTCCACTTTGACATCAGTAATGAACCGATGAGTAGGCGCAACATGTAGACAAAGAAAAGATTCAGTCAGGTTTTGATAGAGAAAAATAACAATAATTTAATGGGCAGAGTTGATGGTTTTATCGGTTGTAATCTACAAATACTATGAGATATACAGGAGATATAGGTATAGATATAAAGATGGCTATGATAGATAGCTCTGGATAGAGAGATAACTCTAGATAGCAGCTCTGGATAGAGTGATAGATAGCTCTAGATAGAGAGATAGATAGCTGTCGAGAGAGAGAGATAGCTCTAGATAGCTGTAGATCGATAGAGCTCTCGATAGAGAGAGATAGATGTAGATAGAGAGATAGATAGCTGTAGATAGAGAGACAGCACTATATAGCTCTAGATAGAGAGAGAGAGATAGCTGTCGAGAGAGAGAGAGAGCTCTAGATAGCTGTAGATAGAGAAATAGATAACTCTAGATAGAGAGATAGATGTAGATAGAGAGATAGATAGCTGTAGATAGAGAGACAGCACTATATAGCTCTAGATAGAGAGAGAGAGATAGCTGTCGAGAGATAGAGAGAGAGAGAGAGAGCTCTAGATAGCTGTAGATAGAGAAATAGATAACTCGAGATAGAGAGATAGATATCTGTAGATAGAGAGATAGATAGCTCTAGATAGAGAGACAGATAGCTCTAGATAGTTCTAGATAGAGAGGTAGGTAGCTGTAGATAGAGAGATAGATAGCTGTCGATAGAAAGAGAGAGAGATAGCTCTAGATAGCTCTAGATAGAGAAATAGATAGATGTCGATAGAGAGAGAGAGATAGATAGCTCTAGAGAGTTGTAGATAGAGAAATAGATAGATGTCAATAGAGAGAGAGAGATAGCTCTAGATAGCTGTAGATTGAGAAATAGATAGCTCTAGATAGAGAGATAGATCGCTGTAGATAGAGAGATATATAGCTCTAGATAGAGAGACAGATAGCACTATATAGCTCTAGATAGAGAGATAGATAGCTGTCAATAGAGAGAGAGAGAGAGAGAGATAGCTCTAGATAGCTGTAGATAGAGAAATAGATAACTCTAGAGAGAGAGATAGATATCTGTAGATAGAGAGATAGATAGCTCTAGATAGAGAGACAGATAGCTCTAGATAGCTCTAGATAGACAGATAGCTCTAGATAGCTCTAGATAGATAGACAGATAGCTCTAGATAGCTCTAGATAGAGAGGTAGGTAGCTGTAGATAGAGAGATAGATAGCTGTCGATAGAGAGATAGATAGCTGTAGCTAAATAGATGGCTGTAGATAGCTGTAGATAGAGATAGATGTCTGTAGATAGATAGATAGATAGATAGATAACACAAAATTGCTCTAGATAGAGAGATAGATAACTCTACAGAGAGAGATAGATAACTCTAGATAGAGAGACAGACAGCTCAAGATAGAGAGGTAGATAGATGTAGATAGAGATAGATAGCTCCAGTTAGCTCTAAATAGAGAGATAGCTGTAGATAGAGAGATAGATAGCTCTAGATAGACGGATAGATAGCTCAAGATAGCTCTAGATAGAGAGATAGATAATTCTAGATAGAGAGATAGATAGAGAGCTCGAGAACTAAAGAAATAATATTTATGAAACTGGTTTAATGGCGAAGAGAAGTGAAAAAAGTAGCCGAATAAACGTGCGAGAAACGAAAACTATAAAGAGAAAAACCTAATGACTTTTGAAGGAAACAAAGAAAAATTGAAGTTAGTCTTTAACAGAACTCCGGAATCTCATGAATAAAAGTTAATGAAATTGTTTGCGATTGTTGCTCAGATAACTCTTATGATTAATAGCGAACAGACGACAAAACCCAGTGCAATTAAAATTTGTTCTCCTTCTTTTTTTTCCCAGATGCTTTGTGTCGAAAAATTTAATAGGATATACGTTTTCGTTTTGACTGAAGTTGGGTAACCCATCTAATCTTTTACAAATATTTTTTTTATATATATATAAATTATGTTCAATGTACACATTTCTTAAGTATAGATAGAATTGTAACGAAAATATTCTGAATTCATTGTTGCGTATGTAGACATTATATCGCTTATGTCAAATTCTTTCTAATAACTATTTAGTAAAGCTACAAGAATATAACTGGACAGGCAAATGTGAGAACATTCTAAAGACAAAACGTGAAGACAGAAAAAAAAACTTGATCATATTTGGTTATTTTCATATTATCTGTAAAGCATAAAATGTTCGTTCTTTCACATTTTTAAAACAAGTTTGTACTTTTAGGGAATGGTTTTTAATTATGTTTTAAAGAAATCCATTCCTACCCTCTGGTACGGTGGCATTTATGAGTTATAGGTACAAATTTATAATTACTACCGGAAAAAAACTCTAAATAAGAACGGAATTTTTTTAAACCTCTAATTAATACTGGATTTTTATTTTTATAATTAATGTCTAGTCTTATGTTAAGCATTAATGAGCTAATGCCAACAATTTAGAGTGAACCAGTCACACTGAAATATGAGCCGAAATGCCAACCCTACCATGCTTAGCAACTCAGGCGTGAGGGATTTTGTACAGCTGATTTGTTTTCGCCTAGCGAATGAAGCAATCCAAAAGTTAAGCAAATTGTTTGGTTTGGTTTGTTTTGTTTCACGGCTTATCACCCTCAATGGGTTATTTAATGCCGACAAGATTTTTATTGCTGGTAATATTTTTTTTCGAAAAATGTATTTCTGGTAATTTTTATTTTTTTTTAAAGCAATTTCTTTTCTTCAAAATTGTTTCATTCAAAAATGTATTGCTGGTGATATTTTTTCTTCAAAAATGTGTTGCTAGCAATATTTCTTTTTCTTCAAAATTGTATTGCCAGTGATAATTATTTATAAAAATATATTGCTGGTAATATTTTTTCTTCAAAAATATATTGCTGGTAATATTCTTTCTTCCAAAATATATTGCTGGTAATATTTTTTCTTCCAAAATATATTGCTGGTAATATTTTCAAAAATGTATTGCTGGTAATAATGTATTGTTAGTAATAATTTTTTTCTGAAAAAATTATTGCTGGTATTAAAACTTATTTTTACACATTCATAGTTATTTGAACCCAGTTTGGGGGTTAACAATTTACCTATAGTTGGAACCATAATCCGAATCAGGCTGGATCTGGGAACACCAGCAATTAAACGTGGTTCCACGCTCTTCAAAACCTCCTGATCAGAGGCCTTTCTGTTGGACGTAGTTTATCGTCTTACCCAAGACGTGGATGTAGTTTATCGTCTTAGCCAGGACGCTGAGCAAATTGTTGAGAAACAGAAAATATGCGTTTGAAACAAAGAAAAGAGTGCTGTATTTTATGTGATATCCATCTTCATCGCCAAGAATGAGGAGAAAACTGAATACAGCAGAAATGCTTTTTTTACAGAGGGATATTGAGAATTCCATGGACGGAGAGGGTAAGCAAGTAGGAAGTCTAAAGAAAATGACAACAGAAGAGAAACAGACTCAGGATCAGGAAAAAAAAAAACAGCTTAATTTACTCGGTCACATAATGAGGAAGTGGGGCTCAGAAAAATTAAACGTTAGAGGACGTAGTGAAGACGAGGGAGATAAAAATGAGTCACCTGCCTGTTAAGCTTGTGTGAATGAAAGGAGTATCGGGGGTCAGGACCTTAGCAACAGGAGAGAAACTGTTAAGGGTGACAAGTGATGGGGAGATTTGGAGAACCATGATCGCCCCATGTACTGAAAGGACGGAGCACATGGATGATGTTATTCGAGATAGTGCTTGCAAAAGTTTGTAAACAATTAGAAAATTAAATAAAAATTTTGAATACCCACAAAAAAAAAAATAGTCAAGTATATAGTCTCCATTCTTTTTCAACAAATGTTTCCCATCGTTCTACAATCCCCTCAATGTAATTTTCATAGAGACGGTTGTGGGGTTGATTTTGATCAACTGTACAGTCAGATTTTCTGTAATTTAAATTGTTCTGTAGAGACTGGCACAAATGGAAATCCGAAAGAGTCAAGTCAGGAGAATACGATGGATTCTAGAGGATTTTCCATTACCACTCTTTAGGCATCTGCAAGGCCTGATTTTCAACATGCTGTCTTACGTTGTCGTGGTAGATAATTACACTTTTCGATTTGTCAAAATTGACCGTTTCTCTTGTCTCTTCAAATAGCGAATGGCGTTTAAGATATCAATGTTTAAACTCTTAGCAATCTCTTCCCTCGAAATCTTCGGTTTATTCGCCACAATAGCAAACAGAATTCTTCATCGACGTCGGAACGTCGTCCGGGGAAGCATTGATCGTTCAGGTTAAAATCTCTCTGACGGAACCAGCTAAACCATTTTTGATTTTATAAAGAGCTGGAGCATGATCCAAATAAACTTTCTGAATGTTTGTTTGTTTTTTTTTTTTTTTTTTTTTTTGTTTTGTTTTGTTTTGTCGCATTTCCAACACTTCCTAATTTTGGAAATGCATATACCAGAATTTGGCGAAAGTGCTGTTAGACATTTTCATGACGGTCGTCTTCGAGTATAGAATCCAGAGGTTGGCAGTGAATATTTCGGAGACATTAGGAAAGCGTAGTGCAGGTTCGCAGTGGATATCGCAGCAAAGTAGCAGAGCGTAGTTCTTCCGTCTGTCATGTTCGCCGGACAAGTTGCCTCTGGTCCTTCCGGTGGGAAAACAAAGATGGCCGCCTTTATATACGACGGATACAGTGTTGTGCGGCTTCTGATTGGTCAACCTTCTATTGGTCGGCTATAAAGGGAATTAAGTCATTTTGACTCGCTCACTAGTTACATACATATATACACAAAAAACCGTAACAAGTGCAACTTTTTATGCTCCATTTTTAAGGCATTCATTTGTGGACAAATCGTCAACATTGAACACTCTGACGTGCAACTAAACGATGCAAGGATTCAGTCTAGAATACATTAGAAATCGGCACCAAAACAAACAAGTCAAGTTGCGGTCATTTTAGATTAACAATGGAAGTAAGACAGGAACTTTTGCACTGATCTGATCTATATTCTTTCGTCCTCAACCCTGAAAGGAGTGGTTGAGAGCGCCGACGTGCTGAGCTGTCCACCATTCTCCTCCATTTGTGGCGGTTGTGTGCAAGAGCCTTACACTCTGCGAATGGTTTCTTTCTGTGCTCATCATTTGGCGTGTCTTGGCCGTTTAAACCTAGCGGATCTCATCCTTCTCCAAGGTCATAATACAAGGAGTCTTTTAAAAAGCTAAATTAAGAGGTGAATTAAATTACTTTCTTAATGAAATATGTTAATGGAACGATTGGGGTATTTGTGGAGTATATAGCAACTTGAGGATTGGCCTTTCTAGGATTTATATGAAATTAAAGATTAATATGTAACTATTCAAGTAGACCTCTTTTGTTTTCTTTAGCTGGTGAATATATTTTTTGTTTTTGTTTTTCTTTGAAATGAAAGCCATGTGGAATCAGCCACCAAGTTAGACAGAAACTTTTCCAGATTATAAATCATTCTCTATCTTTCAGCATACGTAATTATCGTTTTTCTCTGACGTTCTCTTACTATTTGTCTGACTCACAAACATAATTAGAACCCACATACCCTCTGCTTTATCCATACACTTGATATAATACTTCTTTATAAACCAGTTGAACTGATTTTTACACGGTGAAAATCTTCTGGATGCCATTACGGGTATCTGTAGTTAGACAGAAGCTGTTAGTATTTGAAAGCAGAATCCCATATTTCAAGTGTTATCTCTATAGGCATTCAGCTTCCACAATGTTGCAGTCCTTCAGATTAATTCTTGCTTTTTAAAAATATCTGAAACCCACTATTTACATCGTTCAGACTGTTGTCCCCATCTTTATTGCCATATTCACGACATTTCTGCCATTGTACGCTCTGACGTTCATCGGGTGATATACGCTGGAATTTCGAACTGAACCCTTTATTTAGTCTCCAAGGATATATGGCCTAGTGGATAAAAGCGTTGGTTGAATAATCCAAAAATGTGACTTGACCCCAAAAGTTGTGAGTTCAATAACTGGCCACAGCAAAAGAAACAAAAATTTGGAGAGGGAAGTTTTACTAAACGGAATAAACTGAAACTGAGACACCCCCCCCCCAAAAAAAAAGGGAAAAAAAAGGCATGTCACGTGAAATTAGAAGAATTTATTCCCGTAGACTAAATAAAGGATTCTGTTCGAAATTTCAACGTACATCACCTGAAGAAGGTCGGAGCGTACAACGGCCGAAACGTCATGGATATGGCAGTAAAAATGAGGACAGCAGTCTGAACGAAGTAAATAGTTAGAATACCTCATCTTAGAAATATAGACACGCGTCGTATGAAAAATGTTCTCTCATATCTCTTTACTCCTTTGACCCTTCCTTTCCTTTTCCTTCCACCCCCTCCTTTTCCTCCCTTCCCTCCCTTTCCACCCTTTTCCTTCCTTCCATTTCTCCCTTTTCCTTCCTTCCCTCACATCCCTCCCTTTTCCTTCCTCCGATTTCTCCATTTTTCTCCCTTCCTTCCCTTTCCACCTTTTCCTTCCTCCGATTTCTCCCTTTTTCTCCCTTCCCTCCCTTTCCACCCTTTTCCTTCCTCCGATTTCTCCCTTTTCCTTCCTTCCTTCCCTTCCTATGCCATCCCGCCTTACTTTCCTACGTTTTCCTTCCTTTCCTCCCATTTCCTTCCTGCCTTCCCTCTCTTTTCCTTCTTTCCTTCCCTCCCTTTTTTCCTTCCCTCCTTTTTTCTTTTTTCTTTCCTCCCTTTTCTTTCCTTCCCTTCCTTTTCCTTCTTTCCTTTATTCCCTTTTTTCTTCTTTCCCTCCTTTTCCTCCTTTTTCCTTCATTCCTTTCCTCCTCTTTTCTTCCTTTCCTTTTCCTTTCCTCCTTTTTCCTTCCTTCCCCTCCCTTTTTCCCTCCTTTTTTTTTTCCCTCCTTTTTCCTTCCTTCCTTTTTTTCCTTCTTTTTTTTTTTGCTTTCCCCTTTTTCTCTTTTTTTTCTTTCCTCCATTTTTCTTCCTTCCCTAGCTTTTCCTTCTTTCCTTCCCTCCTTTTTTCCTTCCCTCCTTTTTTTCCTTCCCTCCTTTTTTCTTTTTTCTTTCCTCCATTTTTCTTCCTTCTCTCGCTTTTCGTTCTTTCCTTTCCTCCCTTTTTCTTCTTTCCCTCCCTTTCCTCCTTTATCCTTCATTCCTTTCCTCCTCTTTTCTTCCTTTCCTTTTCCTTTTTATTTTCCTCCCTCTTCCTTCCTTTTCATTTCTTTTTTTTAATTCTCTCTTCATTTTTATCTTATCTGATCCGATTTTTTTGATTACTGAAATCCTCCAAATGTTATAGAATATTTTAATTGTTTATTTATTACCCCGATACTAATATACACTTTCTTTATCCACTAAGTGGATAAGTACAAAACAAACACTGTAAGCATTACAAATCACACTATCTTCTATTTAAACTCTATACTATCGTTTTGTATTGCATCTTCCCCGTTATCATAAAATGGTAGATGTTAATTCTATAAATAAAGTTTTATATAATTCTTGTTGATATTATATTTATTAATAATCTTACAAAGCTTTCTCATATGATTTGGTTGTCTACTTTTTTCTGTTTTTTTCCAGTTTTGTTTGCACTCTCTTTTCTCAAATAAACTTTAAAGTTTTATAATTTTCTTATTTTATTCTATTTTAAATTTTTTCCCATTTTTTTTATTTCTCCTTTTCTTTGTATTTGTCTTGAAATATTTCTCTCTCTGATGCCTAGACGCACTCGCATGCACACAACCTTTTTTGGTATCTTCACAAATGAATTCCACAGGGACTTCGTGAGATTCTCACTCATCCATCCATCATAGAATGTTTCATTCAATAATGAAAAATACAATTTCTAAAATAATATATCCTTTCATTTTACCTTTCTTTCCTGTTTTATTTCAGTCTTTCGTTTTATATTATTTTTGTTCAATTTTCGGAGATGAAGTCTTTTTTTTTTTTTGTCATCCTTCAATTTTCAATTTTGAATTAAGTTTTTTTTTTTTCATTATTTATTTCTTAATTTTGCCATTAGAATTTTCGCTCTCCATTTTCAATGAAATGGTTGATCCTCTTAAGTTGACGTTCTTTTATTTTTGGCTTTAAATTCAAAATTATTCAACCACTAATTCAGTTTTTTTTTCTTTATTTCCCTATTATTCATTTAAATCTCTTATTCCCCAACTTAGTTCGATTTATCTAGTTTCCTATATCTTTATTTCATCAGTTGCCTCTTCTTTAGTATCATACTTATGTGAATACATACATATATATATATATATATATATATATATATATATATATATATATATATATATATATATATATATATATATATATACATACATATATGTGTTTGTGAGTCTAACTTGGCGTATAGGCGTGTTTACAATCACACAAACACACATGTCTATATGTGTGAATGCCTGTGTGTAAAATACACATTATCGTTATAACGTGCATCTCTTATAGTAAGTATATTACATCATCTTTGCAGTACGTGTCTTTTCTAAGGAAATAAACCAGTTTGCACTTGCGTATATCCTATTTACTGAAAAAAAACATCATTTCAACTCTATGTGAGTGAATTATATATAGTACATTGCAAACAAATATATATATATATATATATATATATATATATATATATATATATTTTATATATGAGAGAGAGAGAGAGAGAGAGAAGGGATAGAGCGTTTGTAAATATAGTGTAGATACCGAAATTCACCCTGGTTGATTTTTGTTTAAGGACTGAAGTGGACAGTCACTATGCAGAGTTGACTTCTGCATCCACATCGTTTCTCTGTCGGTTATATATCTATATCTATAATTCTCAAAATGTGTGTGTATGTATGCGTGTTTGTGTGATTGGATGTTGTTTATGCATTATGTGTGTACGTGAAATGAGTGAATTATATATAGTACATTACAAACAAATATATATATATATATATATATATATATATATATATATATATATATAGAGAGAGAGAGAGAGAGATAAGGGATAGAGCGTTTGTAAATATAGTGTAGATACAGAAATTCACCCTGGTTGATTTTTGTTTAAGGACTGAAGTGGACAGTCACTATGCAGAGTTGACTTCTGCATCCACATCGTTTCTCTGTCGGTTATATATCTATATCTATAATTCTCAAAATGTTTGTGTATGTATGCGTGTTTGTGTGCTTGGATGTTGTTTATGCATTTCTACAGTATTCATCTGATTTCGATTAAATTTTTTGGGTTTGATAGATAATTCTTCAGTACCGGTTTTTAGTTCAAATTGTTGACAATGGCTCTCAACAACTTCCTGTCTATTTAACTCTCAGCAACATTTTTTTTTTCTTTTCGATATAAATCTTTTAAAAGACATTAATAAGAATAAACAGTTTAAATTATTACAATATTATGTATTATTATACAGGTCCCTTTTCAGGGCTCCCCCTTTCAAAGTGTTACCCCTTCCCACTTGGCGATGTGTCTCAGTTTCACCCAAATGTTGTTACTAATATTAATTCTCGGGTAGGCTGACTTTAAACTTAAACTGCTCCAACTGAACGCCAAAAATAACCAGTAATGAAATACCCAGTGAAAGACGGGTTATACTACTACTACTAGTATATATATATATATATATATATATATATATATATATATATATATATATATATATATATATATGGTATATACGGATACGGAATGAATTCCAATAACCAACAAATACTATTCTGATTGCGTTTGTTTTACGCGTGAGTTTAGGACCCCATTCACACACTCTTAGGATTAAAATGGATACATTGTCAAAGGACCGGATATAAAATTAGCTAAAGTAACTTCAATGAAGAAATAAATTGAATAACATATATATTTCTTCTTTTCTCCTCAGTAATATTATAGTTGTAAACTTAATAGCGATTAAATTTTGATTTTGAAATTAGCAGTTTTTAATTTTAATATTAAATTTTATCATATAATTTAGTAATTATTGGTTAGAATAAATTCTTTTTAATACTACCCATATTTTAAATATTTGAATAGCTATTATAACATGACTTCGTTGTCAAGCTTTTTGAATTTTCCTATACTTGTATTTTGATTGGTCCATCTAGCTTTTGTAACAACGTTTTCCCCTTGTGAAGGATTGTTAATTAATTCGAAACTTTTTAAAACCATTTATTTTACATTCAACATCATCACTTGATAAGACACCGAGAATGTTGAAACAAAATGGCTATTTTTGTAGTGATTTTATAACATATTTATGTTATAATTTTTTAAATAATTATAATATATATATATATATATATATATATATATATATATATATATATATATATATCGCTGAAATGAACGCAATCCCACTGTTCTTCTGTCCATATGATGTGTTCAGTGGGAAATTTCAATCGGCTCATTTGTTTTTTTTTTTAAAATGTAAGGCTTCGTAGAGGCTACTCGACTGTTCATATTTATTTCATTGAGACTTCGGGAAATAGTATGCCTTGATATTTTAATGCCAAGGTAAGCATTAGCTCTTTTAGAGATAACGGTTGCTGTTGCAAATCGATCCTTTTTGGATTCATTACCAATCCATCGGTCTTCCATTGTAGTAGTTTTCCTAGGCCTGCCAGGTGGTTTCTTGCCTTCACATGACCCACTTTCCTCAAGTTTTCTTATAATACTATGAATAAAACTTTTAGATTTCCACACACTCTTTGAAATATCCCCAATCAAGTCTTTATCTTCATTACCTAACTTGACTATCTGTTTTCTAAGTTCCAATGACATCGCAGATTTTTCGCCATGTTTACAATACAAGAGCCGGTAAAGAGCCGGTGTAATTTAGTAAAATACCCGATTTTATATACTTACCCTAAGAATTGTTTAAAAATGCAAAATAATTATTAAATTTTATGGATTTATTTAATCGTTCTGATGTTTTTGATCATCTGTTTTTTTTTTCGAATGTTATATAATTATTCTTGTAACTTTATCAAAATAAGTTTATTGAGCTTTATATTTTGTAATTATATAATTCACCGTCATATCCTTATTTTTCATTGCTAAAATGTTCTTTGAAGCATTAAAATAAAAAAGGTATTTCACATTTAGACTTTTTCTTAACATCGTTCTGATCTTTATGCTCGCTACTGTATATATACATATATATATATATATATATATGTGTGTGTGTGTGTCTGTGTCTGTGTGTGTGAATGTGTGTGTGTTGTGTGCTTTTGTTATGTAAACTTTATTCAGGTGTCGTTATTAGTTTGTTTTTAACAATTTAGACCACGTTAGCGACTGATATAGACGTGTTGAAATAGTTTTTGTTTTAATTATTTCGCCCACAAGCAAGGCGATAAGGCCACTAAGACACAGGCGGTTACTAAGAGTGAGATAACAATACGATTGATATTGCATTTACATTTTTGAAGATCCAGACTTCCACAGGTGTGAAGTGCGAAAAAAAACTGTTATTAAAGAACTTACTGGTACATCTAGCTAATTCAGCCGTAAAAGGATCAGACCTTGTTGCCAATCTAGTACTGAGTCTGAAGTCATAAGAGCAAGATATCATAGTAAAGTACCTACCTAGATATCATGACAATATTTATAGAAAAGTTACAGGAAAGCTACGTTACGGCATTTCTAAAGTAACCGAAGCCGAGATGCTAGGTCAAGATCAATAATATTGCAGATTCTTCTTTGGATTTTATCAAGATTTTTTAAATATATACCAGGGTCACCAGACGATATGTGGAGGCAATACTAGAAGTATCGACCAATCGTAGACTTATAAATATATGAGATGAATGTAAAACAGCCAACCTCATTTTTAACAATATGTTAAGATCCGGTTCCTTGTACCACGGTGATAGTCCAAGGTAGAACCAATAAAGATGAACTCGAACACAGGTATGGAATAACACAGATATATTACAAACAGGAATATATACAGAGAAGTAGAAGTGTTAGTACGAACAATCAGGTTTAGTAGAGAGAACAATGTAGCCTCGACCAGTATCACTATTCCAATGTCTTGCAGTAATTGTCTGAACGCGACTCTGTTTCGGACTGCCTCTGACTCGACTCTCGACTCGACTCTTGAACTACTGACTCAACTTGAACAACTGACTCCGCTTGAACTACTGACTCAACTTGAACTACTGACTCCGCTTGAACTACTGACTCAACTTGAACTACTGGCGATATTAAGTCACCCCCCCCCACGAGG